AGAAAAGCAAAGTGTGTAATCACAAAGAATTGAAGATAGGTATGATATGACATGAAATTGTATACATATTGCAAATCCGATTATTCGCGGCCAAATTTATTATACTTATTTTGCGCCAATTTGCAAATTAGAAAGAGTACCGGTATACAATTTTTTTTAATGACAGAATTAACGTAACTTGATCACAGTCGGTTCAGAAACAGCTGAAATATCAAAAAATACATCCGTTCAGATTTTCGTCAATTCATATCTATACTAACTTGGGGGAGGGCAGGCGCGTACGCGGGGGGGGGGGGGGGGTGGTGGTTATCCCCCCTTTAGTTTTTGTTATGTGTGAATTTTTGCGTCGCTAAACCCCTCCCCCCCTTCATGTCGATTTTTTTTTTTTTAATTAAAACAATAAAAAAAAAAAATTATGCCAATGGCTGACCTACAAAAAGTGACACTCCCTACGGAGCAAAATGTCAATTTTTCAAATTCCGAGACCAAAAAAAAAAAAAAAAAAATTCCTCTTACATAATACATAATCTTTTATAGAGATTTTCCATTACTTATCATGACGCACCGTGAGTTCATTGATTACCAAAAAAAGGTCACCCCAACAGCGTCCAAGCTATGAAACATATTATACAGACAGGCAAATATATAGTGACTTAGATAGAAAGAATAGTTTAAATTTTCAACTGTTCAATACAATTTTCACAACATTTTTGCTTCCAAGTCTCTTTTGTAGTAAGCATTAATGCCGTTATGTTGTTTGATTTCTTATGTCAAACCTCCATATTACACAAAGGTAACACGTTTATTCATATAATTTAGTTCCCGACGATAGTCGTAAAATATGGTGATCGAAAATTCGAGAACTCGCCAACATGACACTCATTAAGATTTCTTTTTCGTTCATTTAAATACACTTGTCAGTATCTTTCAATTTAAAACTAAAATTTGGTTTGTAGACCTGATATTGTGTTAGCCAAGGCGATTATACGGATGATTTCATGAACGTTGGAGACATATGACATTTTGATCGTTCATAACTCACAAGTTATTTTTCTTTCTAGAGGGCTTGTTCAGATAACGTTCAGATTACGGAATGACAATGGTTCAAATAAGGACTTCCAATATTGATTTAAATAAGCTATCTACAAATTCCATTAACATTGGCCATATTATTACTGTATATTCATGTTTCCCGTGATTGCAAGAGGAAAGCATTGAAGCAAATGTTCGGATAATCTACTCCAAAAATTCACAGTAATTGCACTTGTATAATGAATAACATGAGCCTTGAGTTTTGGGGTATATCTAAGGGTAATTGTAACAGTTTAACCCTGAAAACGCCGGTGATTTTGGTACTCAATTCAATTCAATTCGACTAATTTTATTTCCAAAACTCAATCGAAACATGAGATCTTGAGCCAAGGGAGGAGGATGGGTCGCTGCCTTGGAATTTCGGCCATGGATAGTCGACAAATTGTTAAACCTGACATATTGATAAAGTATATCATACGGAAGTCCATGAAATTCCATATCTATGTCTCAAATGGCTTTTAAATGATTACTTATTAACTAAGCAGATATTGATCAGCGCAGTGCCAAATCTGCGTTTTGTTCAGTATATACTTTTGGAAGAAATGTTCATTTTGGCAGCGCGGCGATTTTTCGATTGCAGCATACTACTGACCCCCAACTATTGTGGTTGTATTAAAATTACAATGCACTTTACAACTATATGGTAAAGAAACCAGGAACACAATATTCATAGTGCTTGCAATAAAACAAGTATTGTGAGCTTTAATAATTTTATGTGAAAGAATGCAACCAATTTAAAAACTGTCAAGCCATAAGAACATAAGTGTAGATTAGTTGTTACAAATGTTTACTAGATCAGTAATTTCTTTTTCGTGAATTGCAACAAAAGAAAACCTGGACAAAGAAGCTGAACTGACTTTAAGAAATTAAAAAACTACTTTATTTTACGGAAAGTTTTAAATAGTTTGATACATTCCGCACTGATTGATCGGAGCCATGTTATCAGCTTGACTATGTTTCGTCAACAACAAGGGAAGAAGTATGAATTGTGACTTATTACCCGGGGAAGACATATCAGTTTTAAAAGTACTCTTTCTGTGGACCTTGTAATTGCTCGGCAATGACAGTTTCACATTTAAACCTGAGCAGAGAACTCGACATGGAGGCAAAACGACTTGTCCAAGGATGTAAGCACCGAGCAAGGATCGAACCCGAAACCTCTCGTAGGAGATTCGAGAACCTTTACGAATATATCTCAGTGCTCCCATATTATACTTACCCTCACACTTAGGAAACGGTTCCGAGAAACTTCCCAAGCCCGTGCAGGTTACCGACGACGGATCCGGTAGGTTATAACCATTCGGACAAGAGAAACTGCATTGTTCATTGTAGCTTATTGATGTACCGGGTGAACACGAAGAAGATACGTTTGCTTCTAATGAAGGTACGGTGCACGTTACTGAGTTAATAATGAAAAGAATCAGACAAACCTTGAGTGCCTTTAGAAACATTCGAACAGCCGTGCCATATATATTTAAGAACCCGACCTAAATTTTCCAAAACTTCCTAGTAAAGGCGAAACAATCGTTCGTTGTTAGTAACCCCTATCGGAGAGCTCTTAGTCGGCCCTGAGCTATGAATAACTCGAAAATGAATAAAAGTGGAGGATACGACCGTATACATTTTCATGAAGTTAACATAATTATTTCCTGATGATGACCAGTGAAAGACGGCCACGAAAGAAAGAATTTTTTAAAATAAAGATTATCAATGGAAATTTAATCGAGGTACGTTTACAACATTAAAGCAAGGACCTCCACATCCTGAAGTTAATTGTCGCAGGAGCAAGGTTAGAGTCGTACAGCCACATAATGTTATATTTTAAGCCTACCGATGAACGGTGAAAGAGGATTTTGTTCAGAAAAAACAGAGAGAAAAAAAAAGTGATAGGGTTCTTTCCTTCCCACCTGACTCCCAAACCTGTACAGAAATAATAAGTATGAAATATACCCAAAGCCGTCCCTAGCGTGCGAAGCGAACCCACTCGAGTCTTGTATTTGTCATCAGCGCTTATTGACACGATCGCTTGTAGTCACATGTGCATTTAGGCACACATTGATGTGCACCAACTGACGGAGGGATTGCTTTCTTGATCTGCAACACGATTGCTTTCCGGAATTAAGGCCTCGGTCACAAATGCCATTACGAACTGCTACGAACGCCGTACGAACGATTTTCAGACAATGGAAAAACAGGGAGATTCGTACGAAATTATCGTTCGTACGAACCTTTGTGACCGTAGTATAACAATCTATGGTTACCTCCTTTCTACTTTTTAAACACCATTATGGACTGATAGCATCAATCAGTGGCCGGGCATGTCATTTGAGCAGCTAAAAAGAGCGGCTGAAGACAGAAAGTTATGTAGACCATTGTGTCTCAAGGTCCATTTAATTTCATTGTCGCCCCAACAGCTTAAACTCAAGCTATGGGACATATGGACGGATAGATATATATTGTAGTCCAAGTCAACGGTTAAATAAAATTGAAGCCTGTAGTATAACTATCCCATGGCAAATACTAAGAGACACAGACAGATTAAACCTGTGTATGAGAGAAACATACCTGTTTTTGGACACCCTCTGTCGTTGATACTACACTCTGTAAAATAATACATAAAATATGTTATACACTGATCAGTATCCAGTATTGCGACAAGTGCGCACATACAGTACTAAACATAAAAACCCCATTAAAAGGGTCATTTTTTGGCGAGTTCTCAGATTTTTCGATCACTTTGTTTAATGAGCATCGTTAGGACCATGACCTAGGACATTCTTCACTGTCTAATTACCTGAACTTCTGTAACCCCCATTTCTATTACACCCTTCATTGTTATCTTTGGTTCTCTGTTTACTTGTGGTTCATTCAACACTCCTATCACCATGATTACTCTTCTTTACTTTTCAATATGTTGGCACATACTCTCTGTCACTTTTCTTCTGTAGTATATTAATGTTGTCATGTGTTTAAATTCTTAAGCTCTTACGACACTGCTCATGAAATAAGGTGATTGGAAATTTGAGACCTCGCAAACATGACTCTTATTACGATTTCTGTTTCGTACTTTACAGTTGTATCACCATTTACACTTGCCAGCAACTTTCAACTTCACTTGAATCAAAATTGGTTTCTAAACATTTTGACATATGATAATTACAAAATGATGAGCAGGCAGTGGAATCTCTAAGTTTTTCTTCTCGAACAATCATTTAATTGTAAAAATGCAAGGAACTCAGTAGCAGCCGACAAGAGTGGAATCTAGATTTAGCTTTTGGATATGTATATTGTGCATTAATACGTATACAGCGCGCACGCCGCATGCATCCACCATACATCGGAAGCATGACAGCCCAAGAAGTCGCTCGAAATTACATCCAAGAGTCACACATCAGGGCCCCATTGCATTAAACTTACCATTGATGGTAACTTTGCCATCAATGGTAACTACCATGGAAACCTTGATTTTGATTGGCTATTGAGCCCTGTTACCACGGTAGTTGCCATTGATGGCAAAGTTACCACCAATGGTAGGTTTTATGCAACGGGGCCTCGGGCATTTAGGGGGTATTGGCGATATCGATAATTGATACGCACTTTCATCAGATGAATTAATTGCGTCTTCACAGGATAAGATATTAAGATCAAAATGAAACTAAAGCAAATTAACTGAAGTAAATTAAAGAAACTCTTTCTAACAAATATACAAAATGGCGCCGAAAAACGTCACGACGCACTTACAGTATGTGATCAAAATTTCATTTTCAGCAGAGGTAATATAGAACACGTATGCAGAAACGAATGTCACTTTTGAGACAAAGTTGAACACGAAAAAGGGACAAACTTATTTTTAAAGAAGAATTTCTGACAAATCTTAATTGGTAGTCTGTAGAGAATTAAGACACAATTTAGTTACCACAGCTCGTTCCAGTCCAATCAGTACCACAGTAACATGTATAAGAGCTGACACCATATGTACATGTTCCACCATTCGAACAGGGATTAGGATCACAGTCGTCAATGTCTACAATGGAAAATTTGAATTTGTGTTGAAAAGACACTGGATAAAAGCAAATTGTACAGTGATATACAGAAATGAGAACGGGGATGATCTGCAAAGTATGACAATCAATTGATATGCTCTTTCATCATGTGAAATAGTTTAATGTTTTCAGGATAAGATATGAAGATCAAAATGAAGCTAAAGAAAATTAACTGAAGTATAGTAAAGAAACTTTATCAAATATATACAACAAGTCGCCTAAATAACGTCACAATAAAAAATATCAACAAAATGTGATTTTCAGAGGATTTTTCCATGTAAAACGCATTCAAAAACAAATGTAGCTTCTTTTACCTCGTTATAGACTAAAAAGAGATGATTTTTTTCTTCAAATAAAGAATCTCTGACGAATCTTATCGGGTAGTCTTCAGAGAATTAAGACGCAATTTATTTACCTGTTGAGCAATTCATTCCAGTATAACCATCAGTACAATTACATGTATGAGAGCCGACACGATCTGTACATGCTCCACCATTCGAACAGGGATTAGGATCACAGTCGTCAATGTCTACAATGGAAAATTTGAATTTGTGTTGAAAAACACACTGGATGAAAGCCACTTTGTACAGGGGGATAAAACATGAGAATGGGGATGATCTGCAAAGCATGAAAATCATTTGATATACTCTTTCATCAGATGAAATATTTTAACTTTTTTCAGGATCAGATATGAAGATCAAAATGAAGCTAAAGAAAATTAACTGAAGTATAGTAAAGAAACTTTATCAAATATATACAACAAGTCGCCTAAATAACGTCACAATAAAAAATATCAACAAAATGTGATTTTCAGAGGATTTTTCCATGTAAAACGCATTCAAAAACAAATGTAGCTTCTTTTACCTCGTTATAGACTAAAAAGAGATGATTTTTTTCTTCAAATAAAGAATCTCTGACGAATCTTATCGGGTAGTCTTCAGAGAATTAAGACGCAATTTATTTACCTGTTGAGCAATTCATTCCAGTATAACCATCAGTACAATTACATGTATGAGAGCCGACACGATCTGTACATGCTCCACCATTCGAACAGGGATTAGGATCACAGTCGTCAATGTCTACAATGGAAAATTTGAATTTGTGTTGAAAAACACACTGGATGAAAGCCACTTTGTACAGGGGGATAAAACATGAGAATGGGGATGATCTGCAAAGCATGAAAATCATTTGATATACTCTTTCATCAGATGAAATATTTTAACTTTTTTCAGGATCAGATATGAAGATCAAGATGAAGCTAAAGAAAATTAACTGAAGTATATTAAATAAACTGTCATTAAATATATACAAACTGTCGCCGAAATAACGCCACGGTGCAGTTATGTCATCAGAATGTCATTTTCAACAGATTTGTTAAATATACACTGTCGCTCATAAAGGTGGAATATTTTAGTTTTACCCCAATTCATGGAATTATTTTAAAAATTATTTAAAAAGAATAGATCTAGATAATAGTATACATTCTCAGATTTTATTTAATAATAATTTGCCAATGTGTGTTTTGCGGGACTGCTAAAGCATGTGTGTGCTACTGTGCTTATTTACTAGGGAACCTACGCCCTTAAGTCACAAATGACAGTAATGAGGATTAATGCCCCACAAAAGGGCACTAATATAGCAAATCGACTCGGTTTTGATCCTGGGGCCTCTATTAAGTTACGAGGCCATTATTATGTCACTTAACCATGACTGTACGCAGCGGGGGCTAGGGTAGGGGGCAGTTTCCATAAATAAAAAAAAAACTGAAAATTCCAACAACAAAAAAAAAATCGATATTTTATTGCATTTACCCCGGTCCCCAACATCAAAAAATTCTCTGGACGGCTATGCATTATGGCTCAAGGCATGGGCACACAGGAGATTTTGTTATGTTGGGAACCGGGGTAAAATGCAATAAATGATTGAAATTTTATTGCATTTTCTTTTTTTATTTTATTTATGGAAACTGCCCCCTACCCTAGCCCCCGCTGCGTACAGTCATGGTTCAGTGACAAAGCAATGGCCTCGTAACTGTGAGGCACAATGATCAAAACCGTGCCGATGTGCTATATTAGTGCCCTTTTGTGGGGCATTAATCCTCATTACTGTCATTTATGAATTAAGGGCATATGTCCCCTAGTTGATGAGCATAGTAGCATACACATGCTTTAGCAGTCACGCAAAACACACATTGGCAAATTATGATTCAATAAAATCTGAGAATGTATACTATTATCTAGATCTATTATTTTTAAATAATTTCTAAAATAATTCCATAAATTGGGATAAAACAAATATTCCACCTTTATGAGCGACAGTGTATAATACGTATACAAACCAATGTGATTTTTAAATCAAAGTTATACCCCAGACGGAACGAACTTTTTTTCTTCAAATAAAGAATCTCTGACGAATCTTATCGGGGCGTCTTCAGAGAATTAAGACGCAATTTATTTACCTGTTGAGCAATTCATTCCAGTATAACCATCAGTACAATTACATGTATGAGAGCCGACTCGATCTGTACATGATCCACCATTCGAACAGGGATTAGGATCACAGTCGTCAATGTCTACAATGGAAAATTTGAATATGTGTTGAAAAACACACTAGATGAAAGCCATTTTGTACAGTGATATAAAACATGAGAATGGGGATAATCTGCAAAGCATGAAAATCAATTGATATACCCTTTCATCAGGTGAAATATTTTTTTTTCTTCTCCAGAATAAGATATGAATATCAAAATGAAGCAAAAAGAAATTAACTGAAGTATATAAAAAAAACTGTCATTAAATATATACAACCCGTCGCCGAAATAACGCCACGGTGTAGTTATGTCATCAGAATGTCATTTTCTACAGATTTAATAAAGAAAACGTAAACAAACCAATGTGACTTTTAGGACAAAGTTGTACACAAAAAGGAACAATTCTGACCAATCTTTCTTGCCATTCTTCAGAGAATTGAGACGCAATTTAGTTACCTGTTGAGCAATTCATTCCAGTAAAACCAGCAGCACAACTACATGTATGAGAGCCGACACGATCTGTACATGATCCACCATTCGAACAGGGATTAGGATCACAGTCGTCAATGTCTACAATGGAAAATTTGAATATGTGTTGAAAAAGACACTGGATGAAAGGCACTTTGTACAGTGGGATAAAACATGAGAATGGGGATGATCTGCAAAGCATGAAAACCAATTGATATACTCTTTCATCAGATGAAATATTCAAATTTTTTTCAGGATCAGATATGAAGATCAAGATGAAGCTAAAGGAAATTAACTGAAGTATATAAAAGAAACTGTCATTAAATATATACAAACTGTCGCCGAAATAACGCCACGGTGCGGTTATGTCATAAGAAAGTCATTTTCTACAGATTTAATAAAGAATACGTATACAAACCAATGTGACTTTTAAGACAAAGTTGTACACAAAAAGGAACGAACTTTTTATTTATAAAAAACGGAATTTCTGACCAATTTGTTTTGGTATTTTTCAGAGAATTGATACGCAAATTATTTACCTGTTGAGCAATTCATTCGAGTATAACCAGTAGCACAACTACATGTATGAGAGCCGACACGATCTGTACATGATCCACCATTCAAACAGGGATTAGGATCACAGTCGTCAATGTCTACAATGGAAAATTTGAATTTGTGTTGAAAGAGACAATGGATGAAAGCAACTTTGTACAGTGATATAAAACATAAGAATGGGGATGATCTGCAAAGCATGAAAATCAATTGATATGCTCTTTCATCAGGTGAAATAGTTTTTTTCCTCCAGAATAAGATATGAATATCAAAATGAAGGTAAAAGAAATTAACTAAAGAATATAAAAGAAACTGTCATTAAATATATACCAACTGTCGCCGAAATAACGGCACGGTGCAGTTATGTCATAAGAATCTCATTTTCTACAGATTTAATAAAGAATACGTATACAAACCAATGTGACTTTTAAGACAAAGTTGTAAACAAAAAGGAACGAACTTTTTATTAAAAAAACCCGGAGTTCTGACCAAGTTGTTTTGGAATTCTTCAGAGAATTGAGACACATTTTTTTTACCTGTTGAGCAATTCATTCCAGTATAACCAGCAGTACAATTACATGTATGAGAGCCGACACGATCTGTACATGATCCACCATTCGAACAGGGATTAGGATCACAGTCGTCAATGTCTACAATGGAAAATTTGAATTTGTGTTGAAAAAGACACTGGATGAAAGCCACTTTGTACAGTGGGATAAAACATGAGAATGGGGATGATCTGCAAAGCATGAAAACCAATTGATATACTCTTTCATCAGATGAAATATTTAAATTTTTTTCAGGATCAGATATGAAGATCAAGATGAAGCTAAAGGAAATTAACTGAAGTATATAAAAAAAACTGTCATTAAATATATACAAACTGTCGCCGAAATAACGCCACGGTGCAGTTATGTCATCAGATTGTCATTTTCTACAGATTTAATAAAGAATACGTATACAAACCAATGTGACTTTTAAGACAAAGTTGTAAACAAAAAGGAACGAACCTTTTATTTTTAAAAAACGGAATTTCTGACCAATTTTTTTGGGTATTTTTCAGAGAATTGATACGCAAATTATTTACCTGTTGAGCAATTCATTCCAGTATAACCAGTAGCACAACTACATGTATGAGAGCCGACACGATCTGCACATGATCCACCATTCAAACAGGGATTAGGATCACAGTCGTCAATGTCTACAATGGAAAATTTGAATTTGTGTTGAAAAAGACAATGGATGAAAGCAACCTTGTACAGTGATATAAAACATGAGAATGGGGATGATCTGCAAAGCATGAAAATCAATTGATATGCTCTTTCATCAGGTGAAATAGTTTTTTTCCTCCAGAATAAGATATGAATATCAAAATGAAGCTAAAAGAAATTAACTGAAGAATATAAAAGAAACTGTCATTAAATATATACAAACTGTCGCCGAATTAACGGCACGGTGCAGTTATGTCATTAGAATGTCATTTTCTACAGATTTATTAAAGAATACGTATACAAACCAATGTGACTTTTAAGACAAAGTTGTACACAAAAAGGAACATTTCTGACCAATCTTTCTTGCCATTCTTCAGAGAATTGAGACGCAATTTAGTTACCTGTTGAGCAATTCATTCCAGTAAAACCAATTGATATACTCTTTCATCAAGATGAAATATTTAAAAAAAATTCAGGATCAGATATGAAGATCAAGATGAAGCTAAAGGAAATTAACTGAAGTATATGAAAGAAACTGTCATTAAATATATACAAACTGTCGCCGAAATAACGCCACGGTGCAGTTATGTCATAAGAATGTCATTTTCTACAGATTTAATAAAGAATAAGTATACAAACCAATGTGACTTTTAAGACAAAGTTGTACACAAAAAGGAACGAACCTTTTTTTTTTTTATAAAAAACGGAATTTCTGACCAATTTTTTTGGTTATTTTTCAGAGAATTGATACGCAAATTATTTACCTGTTGAGCAATTCATTCCAGTATAACCAGTAGCACAACTACATGTATGAGAGCCGACACGATCTGTACATGATCCACCATTCAAACAGGGATTAGGATCACAGTCGTCAATGTCTACAATGGAAAATTTGAATTTGTGTTGAAAAAGACACTGGATGAAAGCCACTTTGTACAGGGGGATAAAACATGAGAATGGGGATGATCTGCAAAGCATGAAAATCAATTGATATGCTCTTTCATCAGGTGAAATATTTTTTTTTCTTCTCCAGAATAAGATATGAATATCAAAATGAAGCAAAAAGAAATTAACTGAAATATATAAAAAAAACTGTCATTAAATATATACAAACTGTCGCCGAAATAACGCCACGGTGCAGTTATGTCATCAGATTGTCATTTTCTACAGATTTAATAAAGAATACGTATACAAACCAATGTGACTTTTAAGACAAAGTTGTACACAAAAAGGAACGAACCTTTTATTTTAAAAAAACGGAATTTCTGACCAATTTTTTTGGGTATTTTTCAGAGAATTGATACGCAAATTATTTACCTGTTGAGCAATTCATTCCAGTATAACCAGTAGCACAACTACATGTATGAGAGCCGACACGATCTGCACATGATCCACCATTCAAACAGGGATTAGGATCACAGTCGTCAATGTCTACAATGGAAAATTTGAATTTGTGTTGAAAAAGACAATGGATGAAAGCAACTTTGTACAGTGATATAAAACATGAGAATGGGGATGATCTGCAAAGCATGAAAATCAATTGATATGCTCTTTCATCAGGTGAAATAGTTTTTTTCCTCCAGAATAAGATATGAATATCAAAATGAAGCTAAAAGAAATTAACTGAAGAATATAAAAGAAACTGTCATTAAATATATACAAACTGTCGCCGAATTAACGGAACGGTGCAGTTATGTCATTAGAATGTCATTTTCTACAGATTTATTAAAGAATACGTATACAAACCAATGTGACTTTTAAGACAAAGTTGTACACAAAAAGGAACATTTCTGACCAATCTTTCTTGCCATTCTTCAGAGAATTGAGACGCAATTTAGTTACCTGTTGAGCAATTCATTCCAGTAAAACCAATTGATATACTCTTTCATCAAGATGAAATATTTAAAAAAAATTCAGGATCAGATATGAAGATCAAGATGAAGCTAAAGGAAATTAACTGAAGTATATGAAAGAAACTGTCATTAAATATATACAAACTGTCGCCGAAATAACGCCACGGTGCAGTTATGTCATAAGAATGTCATTTTCTACAGATTTAATAAAGAATACGTATACAAACCAATGTGACTTTTAAGACAAAGTTGTACACAAAAAGGAACGAACCTTTTTTTTTTATAAAAAACGGAATTTCTGACCAATTTTTTTTGTTATTTTTCAGAGAATTGATACGCAAATTATTTACCTGTTGAGCAATTCATTCGAGTATAACCAGTAGCACAACTACATGTATGAGAGCCGACACGATCTGTACATGATCCACCATTCAAACAGGGATTTGGATCACAGTCGTCAATGTCTACAATGGAAAATTTGAATTTGTGTTGAAAAAGACAGTGGATGAAAGCAACTTTGTACAGTGATATAAAAAATAAGAATGGGGATGATCTGCAAAGCATGAAAATCAATTGATATGCTCTTTCATCAGGTGAAATAGTTTTTTTCCTCCAGAATAAGATATGAATATCAAAATGAAGCTAAAAGAAATTAACTGAAGAATATAAAAGAAACTGTCATTAAATATATACAAACTGTCGCCGAAATAACGGCACGGTGCAGTTATGTCATTAGAATGTCATTTTCTACAGATTTAATAAAGAATACGTATACAAACCAATGTGACTTTTAAGACAAAGTTGTAAACAAAAAGGAACGAACTTTTTATTAAAAAAACCCGGAATTTCTGACCAAGTTGTTTTGGAATTCTTCAGAGAATTGAGACACAATTTTTTTTACCTGTTGAGCAATTCATTCCAGTATAACCAGCAGCACAACTACATGTATGAGAGCCGACACGATTGGTACATGATCCACCATTCGAACAGGGATTAGGATCACAGTCGTCAATGTCTACAATGGAAAATTTGAATTTGTGTTGAAAAACACACTGGATGAAAGCCACTTTGTACAGTGGGATAAAACATGAGAATGGGGATGATCTGCAAAGCATGAAAACCAATTGATATACTCTTTCATCAGATGAAATATTTAAATTTTTTTCAGGATCAGATATGAAGATCAAGATGAAGCTAAAGGAAATTAACTGAAGAATATAAACGAAACTGTCATTAAATATATACAAACTGTCGCCGAAATAACGCCACGGTGCGGTTATGTCATAAGAATGTCATTTTCTACAGATTTAATAAAGAATACGTATACAAACCAATGTGACTTTTAAGACAAAGTTGTAAACAAAAAGGAACGAACTTTTTATTAAAAAAACCCGGAATTTCTGACCAAGTTGTTTTGGAATTCTTCAGAGAATTGAGACACAATTTTGTTTACCTCTTGAGCAATTCATTCCAGTATAACCAGCAGCACAACTACATGTATGAGAGCCGACACGATTGGTACATGATCCACCATTCGAACAGGGATTAGGATCACAGTCGTCAATGTCTACAATGGAAAATTTGAATTTGTGTTGAAAAACACACTGGATGAAAGCCACTTTGTACAGTGGGATAAAACATGAGAATGGGGATGATCTGCAAAGCATGAAAACCAAATTGATATACTCTTTCATCAGATGAATTTTTAAATTTTTTTCAGGATCAGATATGAAGATCAAGATGAAGCTAAAGGAAATTAACTGAAGTATATAAAAGAAACTGTCATTAAATATATACAAACTGTCGCCGAAATAACGCCACGGTGCGGTTATGTCATAAGAATGTCATTTTCTACAGATATAATAAAGAATACGTATACAAACCAATGTGACTTTTAAGACAAAGTTGTACACAAAAAGGAACGAACCTTTTATTTATAAAAAACGGAATTTTTGACCAATTCTTTTTGGTATTTTTCAGAGAATTGATACGCAAATTATTTACCTGTTGAGCAATTCAATCCAGTATAACCAGTAGCACAACTACATGTATGAGAGCCGACACGATCTGTACATGATCCACCATTCAAACAGGGATTAGGATCACAGTCGTCAATGTCTACAATGGAAAATTTGAATTTGTGTTGAAAAAGACAATGGATGAAAGCAACTTTGTACAGTGAAATAAAACATAAGAATGGGGATGATCTGCAAAGCATGAAAATCAATTGATATGCTCTTTTATCAGGTGAAATAGTTTTTTTCCTCCAGAATAAGATATGAATATCAAAATGAAGCTAAAAGAAATTAACTGAAGAATATAAAAGAAACTGTCATTAAATATATGCAAACTGTCGCCGAAATAACGGCACGGTGCAGTTATGTCATTAGAATGTCATTTTATACAGATTTAATAAAGAATACGTATACAAACCAATGTGACTTTTAAGACAAAGTTGTAAACAAAAAGGAACGAACTTTTTATTAAAGAAACCCGGAATTTCTGACCGAGTTGTTTTGGAATTCTTCAGAGAATTGAGACACAATTTTGTTTACCTCTTGAGCAATTCATTCCAGTATAACCAGCAGCACAACTACATGTATGAGAGCCGACACGATCTGTACATGATCCACCATTCGAACAGGGATTAGGATCACAGTCGTCAATGTCTACAATGGAAAATTTGAATTTGTGTTGAAAAAGACACTGGATGAAAGCCACTTTGTACAGTGATATAAAACATGAGAATGGGGATGATCTGCAAAGCATGAAAACCAATTGATATGCTCTTTCATCAGGTGAAATAGTTTTTTTCCTCCAGAATAAGATATGAATATCAAAATGAAGCTAAACAAAATTAACTGAAGAATATAAACGAAACTGTCATTAAATATATACAAACTGTCGCCGAAATAACGGCACGGTGCAGTTATGTCATTAGAATGTCATTTTATACAGATTTAATAAAGAATACGTATACAAACCAATGTGACTTTCAAGACAAAGTTGTAAACAAAAAGGAACGAACTTTTTATTAAAAAAACCCGGAATTTCTGACCAAGTTGTTTTGGAATTCTTCAGAGAATTGAGACACAATTTTTTTACTTCTTGAGCAATTCATTCCAGTATAACCGGCAGCACAACTACATGTATGAGAGCCGACACGATCTGTACATGATCCACCATTCGAACAGGGATTATGATCACAGTCGTCAATGTCTACAATGGAAAATTTGAATTTGTGTTGAAAAAGACACTGGATGAAAGCCACTTTGTACAGTGATATAAAACATGAGAATGGGGATGATCTGCAAAGCATGAAAACCAAATTGATATACTCTTTCATCAGATGAATTTTTAAAATTTTTTCAGGATCAGATATGAAGATCAAGATGAAGCTAAAGGAAATTAACTGAAGTATATAAAAGAAACTGTCATTAAATATATACAAACTGTCGCCGAAATAACGCCACGGTGCGGTTATGTCATAAGAATGTCATTTTCTACAGATATAATAAAGAATACGTATACAAACCAATGTGACTTTTAAGACAAAGTTGTACACAAAAAGGAACGAACCTTTTATTTATAAAAAACGGAATTTCTGACCAATTTGTTTTGGTATTATTCAGAGAATTGATACGCAAATTATTTACCTGTTGAGCAATTCATTCCAGTATAACCAGTAGCACAACTACATGTATGAGAGCCGACACGATCTGTACATGATCCACCATTCAAACAGGGATTAGGATCACAGTCGTCAATGTCTACAATGGAAAATTTGAATTTGTGTTGAAAAAGACAATGGATGAAAGCAACTTTGTACAGTGATATAAAACATGAGAATGGGGATGATCTGCAAAGCATGAAAATCAATTGATATGCTCTTTCATCAGGTGAAATAGTTTTTTTCCTCCAGAATAAGATATGAATATCAAAATGAAGCAAAAAGAAATTAACTGAAGTATATAAGAGAAACTGTCATTAAATATATACAAACTGTCGCCGAAATAACGCCACGGTGCAGTTATGTCATCAGAATGTCATTTTCTACAGATTTAATAAAGAAAACGTAAACAAACCAATGTGACTTTTAAGACAAAGTTGTACACAAAAAGAAACATTTCTGACCAATCTTTTTTGCCATTCTTCAGAGAATTGAGACGCAATTTAGTTACCTGTTGAGCAACTCATTCCAGTAAAACCAACAGCACAACTACATGTATGAGAGCTGACACGATCTGTACATGATCCACCATTCGAACAGGGATTAGGATCACAGTCGTCAATGTCTACAATGGAAAATTTGAATTTGTGTTGAAAAACACACTGGATGAAAGCTACTTTGTACAGTGGGATAAAACATGAGAATGGGGATGATCTGCAAAGCATGAAAACCAATTGATATACTTTTTCATCAGATGAAATATTTTAATTTTTTTCAGGATCAGATATGAAGATCAAGATGAAGTAAAAGGAAGAAACTGTCATTTAATATATACAAACTGTCGCCGAAATAACGCCACGTTGCAGTTATGTCATCAGAATGTCATTTTCAACAGATTTATTAAATATAGAATACGTATACAAACCAATGTGACTTTTAAATCAAATATATACCCCAAACGGAACGAACTTTTTTTCTTCAAATAAAGAATCTCTGACGAATCTTATCGGGTAGTCTTCAGAGAATAAAGACGCAATTTATTTACTTGTTGAGCAATTCATTCCAGTAAAACCAGCAGTACAATTACATGTATGAGAGCCGACACAATCTGTACATGCTCCACCATTCGAACAGGGATTAGGATCACAGTCGTCAATGTCTACAATGGAAAATTTGAATTTGAGTTGAAAAAGACACTGGATGAAATACACTTTGTACAGTGATATAAAACTTGAGAATGGGGATGATCTGAAAAGCATGAAAATCAATTGATATGCTCTTTCATCAGGTGAAATAGTTTTTTTCCTCCAGAATAAGATATGAATATCAAAATGAAGCAAAAAGAAATTAACTGAAGTATATAAAAGAAACTGTCATTAAATATATACAAACTGTCGCCGAAATAACGCCACGGTGTAGTTATGTCATCAGAATGTCATTTTCTACAGATTTAATAAAGAAAACGTAAACAAACCAATGTGACTTTTAAGACAAAGTTGTACACAAAAAGGAACATTTCTGACCAATCTTTTTTATCATTCTTCAGAGAATTGAGACGCAATTTAGTTACCTGTTGAGCAATTCATTCCGGTAAAACCAGCAGCACAACTACATGTATGAGAGCCGACACGATCTGTACATGATCCACCATTCGAACAGGGATTAGGATCACAGTCGTCAATGTCTACAATGGAAAATTTGAATTTGAGTTGAAAAAGACACTGGATGAAAGCCACTTTGTACAGTGATATAAAACTTGAGAATGGGGATGATCTGAAAAGCATGAAAATCAATTGATAAACTCTTTCATCAGATGAAATATTTAATTTTTTTTCAGGATCAGATATGAAGATCAAGATGAAGTAAAAGGAAATTAACTGAAGTATATGAAAGAAACTTTTATTAAATATATACAAACTGTCGCCGAAATAACGCCACGGTGCAGTTATGTCATAAGAATGTCATTTTCTACAGATTTAATAAAGAATACGTATACAAACCAATGTGACTTTTAAGAAAAAGTTGTACACAAAAAGGAACGAACCTTTTTGTTTGTTATAAAAGCCGGGATTTCTGACCAATCTTTTTTGGTATTCTTTAGAGAATTGAGACGCAATTTAGTTACCTGTTGAGCAATTCATTCCAGTATAACCAGCAGCACAATTACATGTATGATTGCCGACACAATCTGTACATGCTCCACCATTCGAACAGGGATTAGGATCACAGTCGTCAATGTCTACAATGGAAAATTTGAATTTGAGTTGAAAAAGACACTGGATGAAAGCCACTTTGTACAGTGATATAAAACTTGAGAATGGGGATGATCTGAAAAGCATGAAAATCAATTGATATGCTCTTTCATCAGGTGAAATAGTTTTTTTCCTCCAGAATAAGATATGAATATCAAAATGAAGCAAAAAGAAATTAACTGAAGTATATAAAATAAACTGTCATTAAATATATACAAACTGTCGCCGAAATAACGCCACGGTGTAGTTATGTCATCAGAATGTCATTTTTTACAGATTTAATAAAGAAAACGTAAGCAAACCAATGTGACTTTTAAGACAAAGTTGTACACAAAAAGGAACATTTCTGACCAATCTTTTTTGCCATTCTTCAGAGAATTGAGACTCAATTTAGTTACCTGTTGAGCAATTCATTCCAGTAAAACCAGCAGCACAACTACATGTATGAGAGCCGACACGATCTGTACATGATCCACCATTCGAACAGGGATTAGGATCACAGTCGTCAATGTCTACAATGGAAAATTTGAATTTGAGTTGAAAAAGACACTGGATGAAAGCCACTTTGTACAGTGATATAAAACTTGAGAATGGGGATGATCTGAAAAGCATGAAAATCAATTGATAAACTCTTTCATCAGATGA